GGGGTATAACCCCTTTTTGATACCCCAAACGTCTTTCAATTCCACACCCCTTCCAAACACCCTAATATTCATTTTTTTCACAACCCCATCTGTATGTTAATTATAATCATAAACCAGTGCTGAACTCGTAATGGTCATACAGTATATGTTGAGATTAAGACACATGCGCAACATCTGGGTATCTTTATTGTAGACGTTTCGCCAACCAGTGGCTTTATCAATACAAATTCTAGGACATAACTTGAAGACAGTAGAACTATGGTGCTCTTCGCACCTACTCCTAGGTTGAGGGACTGATTACCTCATCTTCTGTACATAGTTCTACTGTCTTCAAGTTATGTCCTAGAATTTGTATTGATAAAGCCACTGGTTGGCGAAACGTCTACAATAAAGATACCCAGATGTTGCGCATGTGTCTTAATCTCATCTTGTCGGTATTGTATACCATTCGTACACAGTATATGTTAATAAATATGGCAAAATGAAGCATCCCTAAGTCCTACTTACACTGAGAAATAGTTCCACTCCTACTTACCCTAACCTGCACCTCATTCTTGGGAAAAAAAAAAAAAAAAAAACACTGAGCTGCTGTAGTAGCAGACTACTTACTATGTCACATATTTGCAACATCTGCCTCATGGTAGCCCCTATCCACCCTACTATATGCCTTTTCTAAATCTATAAATATACCAAACAGCTCCTTTTATCTAGATACTGCTAAATTATATACTTCAATGTGAATACTTAGTCTATGCATCCTATCCCTTTCGAATCATCCTTGCAACTCGGGCAATCCTAATGTCTTACCTCAAACTCTTCCAGTAATAATTCTCCCTTTAATGTTCCTCAGCAAGCTTATTTCCCAATAATTCTTTACACTTATTATCCCTTTTTCCCTATACATGTACAAAGGAACTATGCATGCTCTGCCACTCCTTTGGTAACTTCCAGCCGTTATGCATATACTGAATAAATACACCAACCACTCGAACACTATCTCCACCTATTTTTTTAAAACCTGTTTTAATCCCATTTATCCCAGTCACTTTTATTTTTTCTTCTACCCACTACCTCATGTACTTTTCCCCCCCATCCACCTCCTTAGTCCTATACAGTGTTATCCTCCCTGCCCCTTGTACGAAATCACTGCCTTTCCTTCATCGCTAAGTCATCAGTTCTATCCCCTCCCATCTTTCCAGTACCACCACCTCCCCATCAAATTTTTCCCCTTTCATTCTTAAAAATTCATTTGCTCTCTAGGATTCCTCACCAAATGACGTCTCTCCAGAACAGTTCATCGGTGAATTTTTTCACCCTTACAACCTCATTAACAGATCCCCCCCCCCACACACACTTAACATATATACCTCTCTGCTAAGGATGCTGAGGTTGAAATATACA